GTTTATCGTCCAGGGAGATTGTAACACATAAAGTGCAGGGGAGGACCTCATAGTCACTTCTGTAGTAGAAGTTGCCCTGGCCCAACCTTGTAGAGAAAGTCAGCTGTGCGAGTCTACTTACCACTCTGTGCTGTGGTGTGCGGCCAACTGTGAAACACTGGAAGTGGAGATGCTTTGAGAACAGAATCATTAATTCGTGTCGTTGTATACTAGCCTCGCATTTTGTCATGTTACTTTTTTTAGCATAATATTACTATAACCTTGGGAAAGTTTTATACTTATGTATATTTATGTGTGCATGCGTGTGTGTGTGTGTGTGTGCGCGCGCGCGCGCACGCATGAGCACATGTGGAGGCCAGAGGTCAGCCTCGGGTGTTGTTCTTTAGGTATTGTCGCTTGTTTTGTTTGGTTCTTTGTGGTTTTCTTGTGACCGTCTCTCACTGGCCTGGTACTTGTCAAGCAGGCTGCCTGGCCAGTGACCTTGAAGGTTCCTTCTCGACTCTTACCAACAACGCAAAATCAAGAAGCCCGGAGCCCACCTGGCTTTTGACATGGTTTGGGGGAATGTAGGTTCTCATGCCTGTGTGGCAGGCACATGACTGCTGGGGATATCTCCCACCTCACTTTATGTTTTAATTTAGATGGTTCCAGGGAATGATATGATGTTGATACCATTAACTGACCTGATTTTGGACTCTGCTGCTTCTTGATTATGGAGATCTTTGCTTCCCTGAAATAACTAATGTTCAGAGGCCTCAAGCTGTCATGTGAGGAGAAAAATTTAACCATTTCCCCAGATTCTACAGAATCCAGATTCTGTTGCTAATTGGTTCCTTGACCTTGTACTAGTTGCTTGACTTTCCTAACCTGAGGTGATAGAAAGCTGGGCTTGGGGTGGAGTGAGAATTGAGAGAACATGTCAGAAGACAAAATCAAGGCCAGAGTAAAACTTAGAGTGTAACTTTCCTGTTCTTTTACATTTTATTTTGTTCCGGAGTTTTAGCCATATTTGATTAAGAAAGGATTGCGATTTTGCTTACATTTCATCTATAATAACTTTATACCTTATTCTTCTATTTTGTACTCCTAAAACAAAAGTGGCTTTACCAAATCAGTTTTGTTTGTCACATGCACTGGTTATTGTTTTCTGGCTCATACAGACAAGGTGGGCACGAAAGGGAGGAAATTGATGTTCGCACAGATGCTGTATATTGTGCGCTTTTTCTCAGCCATTTCCCAGGTCGGTGTAGAAAGTGTTCTCAATATTTGAGGATATTCTGCTTTGCCATTGTAGAAAAGTTCTGAATTCTAATATGCACAGAGAAGTCTCATGCTTATGAGGTTTTTAGACAGAAAAGATTAAAAGGTCCTATATATCCTTTATAGATGAGTGAAGAGAGGGTCCGGCAGGTTGGTAAGTAATGGTTTGCAGGCACGGTTTAATTAAACACAAAGCTGTAACTCTCCCCTCCCCCCATACAGGGTTTTTCTTCTAGCCTTGGCTGCCCGGGAACATGCTCTGTAGACCACGCTCGCCTGGAACTCACAGAGATCCACCTGCCTCTGCCTCCCCAAGCGCTGGTATGCACCACCGCATATCATCCCAGATGCCGCGATCTGGTCTGATCTCAGAAGAAACACGACTCTTAAGATTTAGAGTCATAGAAAACAACCCGAACAAAGCAGTCTTTACAGAGAAATCTGCAATCAAGCGAAGTGCAATGAGCTCTGGGAGAGAGTAGCTGTGCTGAGGAAGGGCCCAGGCTCACGAAGCATGAAGGAAAAGTCCTAAGACTGGAAGCAGCAAGAGATCCAAGAAACAGAAAAGCTGGCACGTGGGGAAAGAGTGGCAGGAAGAGAGAGGGCTGTGCCCGCTGAGCCTTGCAGGCCTGTTTGTATGTGATGTGTGAGCAGAAGTTACCGGCTCAAGTACAGGGAGCAGAGGAGGAGACAGCCACTGCCTCCTGCTTTGTTGAAACATCTCACATTTGGCATCATTCCAGAGAGTAGGGTGACCCCATGCAAGGGCCTTGAGGTCAGACTCCAAAATCCCAGCTACCTAGCGGGGTAGGAGCAAGGAGTAGCTTCAGCAGCGGCATTCTGTACAGAGGTTAGGAGAGATTCATTCTACAGCTCTGTAGAGACAGCACTGTGCTCTGAGGTGCGAAGCGGCCCAGGAGATGACTGCTCTCGGAGGAGTAACGGTACCTCATCCTACTGCGGCAAGGAACACCGTGAATATGCAAATGCTTAGTATTAAGAAGAGATTCATAAAAAATTTGTGCTTCTAGTAATAATGACAAAAACAACAACCATTTGAACGCCTTGAAGAATATTTTAGAGGTATGGTACACAGGTCCAGAATCCCTAAGTCCAATTCCAAATTCCCAAACCACTGGAAACCATTGGTTTTTAAGTTTAGTCAGACATTTTTTTTGGTGCCATTCCTGAGCTGAAGGATGTGAAACTTTGATTAAATAAATAGTATTTATTCTGCTTTGTGTGAATATTCACAAAATCTCACTGAGGAAAGCATTGCTGAGCTTGCTTCATAACACAGCATGCACTGACTTCTCCCGAGTGGCATGAATTCCACTGCACCATGTTCTGAGCTCTAAATGAAATATTTTTTCTCTTTCAGCAGTTCTGGGGATCAAGCCCAGGCCCTTGCCTAATCCAGGGTTCTACATTTTATTTGTTTATTTATTTTATCAACTATATATGGAGGGGGGGCATGCACTCACCCAATGTGTCCATGCAGAAGGCCAGAGAGTGAAGTTAGGTGCCCTCAGAAGAAGACATTCCATTCCTCCACCCATCATCATCATCATCATCATCATCATCATCATCATCATCATCATCA